TTTTTATAATTATTATTATGTCATTGCTATTTTGTGTAACTAAACCTAAAAATAATTCAGCTAACATAACCTTGAAAATATAACAGTTTTTTTTTATAACATTTTTGTTTCAGATAACGTTTTGTAAATATTTTAAGAGAAGCTTGAACAAAAAATAATTATTGGTAGAAATTCTTAAATCACAGGTTTTATACTTACTTATATAATAAAAAGATAAAATATAAAATATAAAACTTATAAAAAGAATAATTACATGACCGGGGCTAGAAGAAGACAAATTTAGTCTTATCATTAAGCCCCAAGTAGCAACCTTTTTGAAATTCAGCAATCTAAGAATTGGATGCAACTTTTACCTGCCAAAAAACTTTTTTTTATAGATTTTTAAACTGTAGCTGTTTGCACACTCTATTTAATGTTTTAAGAGATGAATATTTTGACTATAATCTTATTTGATTATTACACAATTTTACAGCTGAGTTTGAGGTAATTTTTCCACAAAAGCGTTAAATTTGAGTTCTGCACTTTTGCTGTTTATTTCTTCTTTTACGCAGCAATATTTTGATGTTTTGTGTTTTGCTAAATAAAAATCTGTCCTTGTATTGAATACTGTTGCCACATCTACCCCTCCTTTCCCCACATATGACATATGATCCCTCCTTTCCCCCACATTAATATATTTTGACTTGCTTTACAAGTACAAATTTCAAAAAGGTTTCTACAATCCTCAGAAAAAAATCTTTATTTCATCTTTTTATTATATAAGTAAGTATAAAACCTGTGATTTAAGAATTTCTACCAATAATTATTTTTTGTTCAAGCTTCTCTTAAAATATTTACAAAACGTTATCTGAAACAAAAATGTTATAAAAAAAAACTGTTATATTTTCAAGGTTATGTTAGCTGAATTTTTAGGTTTAGTTACACAAAACAGCAATGACATAATAATAATTATAAAAAACTGTTTTAGTAAAAAATACCAATAAAAAAATAAAATAAAAAAACTGTTTAATGATGTGACCAAAGAAAAAAGTTATTCTTACCTTAAAGGTGATGAATTCAATTTTATTACTTAAACTGTTGGCTAATGATTAATAAAGTAAATTTCAATTCATGAAAATTTACTAAATTAAAACCATATTTCAACAGTAGTCAAATTAAACATAAAAAATGAAGTAGAGCAGAACTTTGTGGTCGAACTAAAAAAATTGAAGAAAAAAAATTAATTAAATAAAGAAATACTTTTCAATTTGCACAAAACAAATAATTTTTTAAATGAAAATATAAAAAAATCAATACAAGTTTTTGTAGAACATAAGAAATAGCAAACATAAAACTTATAAACCTATATACATTACAGAAAATTGCTATGCGTAAGTTTGGAAAAAAAATAAATACTAATATATCATCACAATATATTTAAATCGGGCTAAAATAATATTGATATGTTGGACTAATAACTATACTAATTAAAGTAAGCATAACACTTTTATTCTATGTTATTATATTTATTATAGTAAAACAAAAGTCCTACAAGTTAAATATCAAAAGCTTTAGAAATTTCCAATTACAGTAAAATATAATAATAATTTATATCATCAAATCGATCGTTAAGAAAATCTTTTTTTAATTAGGCGACCCGGTTTTTATTGTCATCGATGTTAGTTTATAATTGAATTAAATGTTTTAATGAATGCATTTAATATAACTTTAATTATTTTTTTAAAAATAAATTCAAATATTGCTTTTTAAATGTACATAAATCAACTGAAAAATAGGGATTGGCGCAATTAAATGTACACTCATCGACTGAAAAATAGGGATTGGGCAATTGAGTGTACGTATATCGACTGACAAAAAGAGATTGACACAACTAAATGCACATACATCGACTGACAAATAGGGATTGGCGCGATTAAACGTACATGATTTGGGACAGGATTTGGGTTTGGGATAAATTAGAAAATGATGCGCTGAGCATTTTTTAACAGTTTTGCATTAAATTGTTGATAGAAACCAGGCTTTTTCATCATCAAAATCATCTTCGAAAAAAATTTTAATATAACCGAGAATTAAAAAATGGCGAATATTTGCGTTTTTTAGTGTAATTTTTTAAACTTCAAGATCGAATTAGAGCACTTTCTGTTAATTTTTAGACCTATGTTTTTATACGATTCTTAATCAGCATAAAATTCTCTATCATAATCAGCAATAAAAAAGAAAGAGGGAGGGGGGGGGAGACACTGCAGTTGCGCGCACCGTCTTACTTTAAACGATTTACTAAGGGGAGGTAATAATTTTGAAACTTAAAGATGTATTTTTTAAAAGTATTTTTAATTAAATATATAACTAAAAGTTTATAGTTGTTCACTATTTATTACATCATTCAATACCTTTACTACACCAGCTTTTAATAAATGATTAACTAGGAGAAAGAAGATAATTCAGAGACAAGTTTAGTAATTTACTCGGGGGAAGGGTATAATTCAGACAGATATTTGTAAATTAATTTTACATAATTATATAACTAATTTATTCAGTTTAAACAGAAATTATACAACTATCATCTAGTTATTAATTATTTTATAGTTGTAGAATTTCAATCATTATACTGTAATAAAGTCTTACATTGAGCGATTTATAAAGGAGAGGTATTAATTCAGAGAGATAATTTATATCTGTCTGAATTTTACTTTTGCATATACTGTTATATAATAAAAGTATTTTTAAAATAATTTCATGCAATTAAATAACTAATTAGTATATAGTTGTTTATCACTATTTTCTATCACTACGACACTTTCTTATATCGTCTTTCTTATATTACTTTTATGTAAACTTTATTTCTAAAATTCTTGTCCTCTAAATGTTTTTTTCTCCTTGTTTATGTTTACAAAGGTAGTACGGACGTTTTAGGTACGATTTTAACAGTTATAACCCGAAAGCGCAATCTCGTTTTGAGTTTTTCATAGGGGGATGGAATAATTCAGGCGGTAGGAATAATCTGCTACAGCAAACGTTCATTATGTCGCTATACCAAAATTGGTTATCGAACGCTATATTAACAATAATATAAACAAAACCGCTATATTATATAAAAACTGTTTAAATTAACGAAACAATGTTCTTTGTAAGAGCTTCTTTTTAAGAGAGTTACTTAAGTGAGTTTTTTGTGACGTAAGAGTTTAAACATGGGTTTCCAAAATGACGTCGTCACATAATTGCCATCATCTCGATTAAAGGCGGCTTTCCACGGAGCGAATTATTTCGCGCAAAGCGAAATATTTCGCCGCGAATATTTCTGAGCATGCGCACAATCATTTATTTTATCGCCTTGCGAATTTTTTCTCTTCGCAAAATAGTTGGATTGACTTCAACTTTTTCGGTAGCGCATTTTTTCGCTTGAAGGAAGAGCCAATCAGAACTTTTGAAATATGGAAATTAAGCAAATATAAAAATTCAGCATGTAGAAAAAAAAAAAACACAACAAAATTTTAATGGCCGACAATAGTACCACGTTTATTGAGTGGTTTAAAGAAAGAAATGTTAGCGTAGATTTATTGGAAGCTTTAATAAATGCTTCTCAAAATCAAGTTACAATCACGAATAAAGAAGTAGTTAATGAAATAGACGAAAACGAAGAGAATGAAAACGATGATTTTATTCCTACTGAATTCGATATAGATCATTTTATAGAAGCTGTTCGTGAGCTTCCAAGCTTGTGGGATGTGAATCACCCCACATACAAAGACAGATTGGTTAAAGTAAACGCTTGGAAAAAACTTGCATTAAAATTTTGTGAAGAAGAGGACTTGCTTCAGAAAAAGTTAAAAAATCTAAAAGATACACTAAAAAAATGTTTAGATAAACGTAACCGTATGACCAGATCAGGAGCAGCAGCCACAAACTTACCAAAATGTAAGTTTTTTAATCAAATGACATTTTTGCATGAAAAAAGTGCAAACAAACCAACAGAATCTAATGTTGATATTGTCCCAGATGTTGCTTCACCATCATCGTTTCACTCACAATGTAGTTTTACACAATCAAGTCCAAGTACCAGTAGTTTTAGCAGTGAATTAATTCTAACTGAAAATCGAAAAAGATTAAGCCATACCAGATCACCCATTCAAAAGAAGGCACGAATCAAAAATCAAAATAATGAATCATTATCACAATTGTCACAATCATTAGTAGAGTGTGACAAGATATTAAAAAAGTCAATGGAAGATGTCGAGGAAGATGAAACTACCCTATTTTGTAGAAGCCTTATTCTTATTATGAAAGAACTTCCAATAAAAGAAAATAGACGGGCTATGATAAAGATAAAAACACTTCTTTTCAACATGAAATATGGTGAGAATGAAGAGATTTAGAGTAAATTGTATATAATTATAATTATTATATATATATATATATATATATATATATATATATATATATATATATATATATATATATATATATATATATATATATAATAATAATAATTTTCTGTTATATTTTATTTGTTTTATCAATGTATTTTTATTTTTAAGAACATCTTTAATGTACTTCTTACTTTTGACTTTTTTTTCATTATCAGGATTTTTTGGCATTGGTGTAATTATTTATTAAGTTTAAAAACTTTTAATTTTAACTTTTCTATGAAATATTTATATGTAAAAAGCAATCTTTAGATCAACATAAAAATTATTATTTTGAAGTTCAAAATTTTAAATATTGTTGTAATAAAATTATTATTATATTATTAAAAGTATATGTGCTCTACCTGGTAAAAGTCTTACAATTTTACTATATCAATTGTTAACATAATTTACTTTGTCCTTAAAGAAATACCAGAAAAAATGTCAATTTTTTGAGTAATAGTTATTAGCATTTACCCTTAAACTACATGGTTTAAATTGTGACTTATACGTTCACCATTACAAGTTTCTATTTACCAAGTCTAGTTGCCATTCCAGTTCTCCTTCTGGTGTATTAAAGTATTCTTTAAAGTCATCTCAAACTTGCTTTGCATCTTTTGAGTAGTTGTTAGAACCTGATTGTGACATTGGTTGTAGTGCAGCAGAACATGAATTATCTTGTCTCCAATCACCTGGTCTAAATCCAGCAGGACCGTCGATATCGGTGTAATTTGTGGGACAGTAGACATAATTGTTTGCTGATCTATTTTTCATAAGAAAGTTATGTAGGGCTACAATCGCTTGTGTAATTAAAATGACTTTTTCAAGATTAACAATAATTGGTCTGCGAAATATTCGAAAGCGTGTTGTAGCAATACCAAATGTATTTTCTATTACCCTTCTGGCTCTTGAAAGTCTGTAGTTGAATATTTTTTGATCTAAAGGAATGTTTTGATTAGGGTATCGTTTCATCATGTGTATTTTTAAACCAAAAGCATCGTCAGCAACTAAAACGTACGGTAATACATTTTCTGAATTACCAATATATTCGGGATCAGGAATATTCAATTTATTATTTTCAATTGCATAACCAAGACTGCAGTTGTTAAAAACGCTACCATCACTCTGTCTTCCCGAGTCACCAATGTCTACCATAGTAAATTCGTATTTAGCATTACAAACAGCTAGAAGAACTATACTACGCGTTTTCTTATAGTTAAAATACTCTGATCCGCCATTATGAGGAGCTTGCATAACGATGTGCTTGCCATCTATTGCACCTATTGCATGCGGAAAATTCCACATGCTTTCAAATTCTTTTGCAATTGTTTTCCATTCTTGTTTTTCTGATGGGACGTGTAGAAAATTTCTCTCTTTCAATGATGTCCAGATAGCAGCGCATGTCTCACTAATAATCCTACTGATAGTAGATGCGCTAATTCTGTAACTTGCAGCAATAGTACACTGAGCATCTCCTGTTACAAGAAATCTAAGTGTTACGGCCAGCCTTTAACTCGGACTCACAGGGTCTCTCATGGTAGTTCTTTGTTTTACAATGATAGGCGCTACAAACGAAAGCAACTCTTCGTAAGTTGTTGGAGACATACGAAAATACTTAAAAAAGTATTCCTGGTCGTGTAAACGTAAATCCTGGACTAATAAATGAAACTCTCTATTCTGAAGGCGTTCGGTATAAATTTTCCTTACCCAAAATCGTTTTTTCTTCTTTTCTTTTTCTTGTATCATTTGCAACATTTTTAAAATAATTAATTTTCTTCGAACTAACAACAATCTTCTTTTAATCAACATGTTTTCCGAAAAGCGCGCTAATGGTTACGCTAAAGTTACGTGAAATTAAAATTCTGATTCTGCGAAAAATTAGTGGCGAAAAAGTTCGCTTCGCGCGAAAAAATTCACTCCGCGGAAAGCCGTCTTAAGACCATGAGTTGTATTTCTCAAATGGCGATCTAAGTCCACTTGAAAGTTATACGTAATTATGCGGAATTTACTTATGCAAAATTAAATTAAATATGCTAAAAAAGTTTCTTCATCAAAACCACTTGTCGCGAAGGAACGAAAGTGAATTCAATATTGTTCGTTATATCTGTTTTAAAACCGTTAATCTTATTGTGATTTTATAATTGTTGTTTTGTCAATATCACGGTGTATTGTTTTAATAACATTCAATCCTTAATTGTCTTTGATTTAATTAGCATTTTTATGTAAATAAAATAATGTCAATAAGGTAAGTAATTCTATAAAACGTGTTTTTTTAATAACTAATAACGCAGTGGCTACGGGTACGTCTAGACGTATTCCTCACAAAATAAGTTAAAGATACGTCCAAACTTTCGGACGCGGAGGAGCATAATTGTTTCAAAGATTTGCGTTAACAATGACTTTGAATGTTGGTGATAGTTTTAACTCTTTAAAAGAATTAGAAGAAGCGATTAAGAACTATGAAATTGAATTTAACGTTTCTCTATACAAACGAGAGAGTAGATCTATTGCATCTGCAAGGAAAAAAGGCATTAAACGAACGTTAAATGACGATTTGTTATTTTATAGTATGCATTATGCATGCTATCATGGAGGGAAAAATTTTAAAAGTAGATCAAAAAGAAAGCGTCCAAATCAAAGGTATATATTATTTAGTAGATATAACATAAAAATATTATAAATGCTCTCTTATATATTATCAAAAATGAAAGTTAAATTTAAAAACATAAGTTAATTCTCCTCATTTATCTATATTGATCCATTGAAAGAATTTAATTGAATTAAAGCATTTAAAATTTAATCTATAAAAATGTTTATCTATTTGAAAAATCATAATCTTTTTGTAATAGGTTTAAATTAAGAAGACATGCTCCTCTTTTAAAATGATTAAAAGCCAAAGTTTAAAGTTTCTATAGAAGAATTAATAAGTTTTAGCGAGAGAAGCTTTTATATTGTTTCTTCACACATTTTATGCATACACTGTATTTTTTGCTTACTCTGCAATTGTATGAATAACTATGCTAATCTTTAGATTATCCTTTTGTCAGTCTAACTTACATAATGACTCTTTTTAATTTTCATACTAATTTCAGTCAACTTTTTTCTTAGTTTGACATAATGGCTCTTTTTAGTACTGTTAGTACTGTTATCCCCATTTAGAGCAGCCTTGCAGTGATATATATTTATATTGTTATGTCTTCTGCATATTATCAACAACATTGGAACTTTCAAACTATTTTCAATTATTTGGGCTGCTCCATTGACTCTAACAGCATATTTTGCAGTTGTATTAGATCATATACCAACAATCTGATTTCTACATCCATAATATTTACTTGTTCTGCTTGGTCAACTCACTTGAAATTAAGATATTGAACAACACCTAAAAGGTGGTATATGTTTCCATGGTGTCATCATCTGGGGAACTCACTGAGACTTAAATTGGTCAATGCTTTTAACTAATATTCAACCATGTGGTAATCTGTTACAACATTTTAATATCAACATTAAGTATGAGATGATTCATGATTGAAGCGCACAAAATCTTCCTCATGTTTTATATAATTAAGCTGATTTAATGAGGTGTGCTTTGGCACAGTGGTATCTCGTCTATTTCTACACCAACATTTTAAAAGTCTTAGGTAAATCCATTTATGGGTATTACCTAAATGTACCTCATTTTTGCCGTTCTACTAATATATACACGCAGTAGCAGAGAGAGCGGGCAGAGCTTTTAGGAGGCCCAAACCACCCAAGAAAATTTCTTTGTCATTTAACTAGTATTTTAAAATAAAGTTTTTTTTTTTGCTTTTTTTTTTTTTATTAGTTTTGTTTTTTTGTTGGTAGAAAGTAAGCTGAGGTCTTTATGAACAATTTCCTTGAGTTACGCTACTCTATCAGGGAACATGTAATCTTAATTCTTATTACAACCTGCTTTTTGATATATTAGATATTAAACAAAAAGTAAGCCTTCAGAAAAAATCAATTTATATAAAAAAGATAAATTATACTATAATATTTATCACATTTTAAAATAAATTGAACTGGTGTAGAGCAAATGGGGTTCTTTGTATATGTAACTAGTGGCATAGGAAGGTCTAGAAAGTTGGGGGCTAAAATGAAAATTCAGGGGGCAGCCAGAATCAAAATTTGAGTTGAAAAAAAATTTTTTAAGTTAGTTGGAATGGAAAGGGGAGCTGTCACCCCTTCCACCTCCTATTCCTACACCAGTCTCTGTAACTATCTGTTCACTTGTGGTTAAGAAAGTTTTCCAATAGCTATTATAATACATTAGTATATCTTTGTAAATTAATAATTAAAAGTAGATGTTTTTTGATGACGATAAGTCAGATCAGGTCAAAACAGTAAAACTCAGAATTCATATATATGTATCACTTAAAGTCATTATAAAACCTAAAAAAAGATTTTGGTAGATATTTAGGACCTATAGAGCACATGAATTATATAAAAAAATGATTGATAAATTTTAAAAAAATAGACAAACAAAATAAAAAAAATAATCAAAAAAACTTTTAAACAAACAAAAAAAAAATGTATTTAAAGTTTTTTAGGTAATTTTTATTTAAAAAAAAATTGTGAAAAAGTTAAGAACCACAGAGCAAAAAACAGTAGTTTTCACCTAATACCGCTTAATTCTACCATGAATTTTAAAACACTTATTTATACGATTCGGCATTGAGTCTAATAAGTTCTCTAAAATATGTTTGGGAACATTTCCAAGTATTGTTTGTAAAATATTGCGCAACTCCTCTGGGCCCTTGGTGCTTTCTTGGCAATCTCTTTATCAAGCCAACTCCAAAGATTTTCAATGCAATTTAGATCTGGGCTATTTGGTGGCCAAATTAAACGCTCAATTTTTTTGCTTTCAAACCATTCAGAGACAATTTTAGCCCTGTGACATAGTGAATTGTCTTGCTGAAAAATGAATGGAACGCTTTGCTCAAGTGTATCAATTGATGGTAGCAAGTTGTTATTTAAAATATTAACGTAATAAATAGAGTTGAGTTGACCATCAAGTAATTTAAACATACAGAGACCATAATATGTCATGCAGCACCATATTCCAAGTGACCCGCTACCTTGTTTTGTTCTTTAAACGATACAATCGAGATTATATTTTTTTGAAGGCTGCCTGTGAATCATAATTCGACTTTTTCGATTATCAACCTCGATATTCATCTCCTCACTGAACATTACTGTCCTCCATTTTTCTTTATATCATTCTTTGACGCTTTGGCGTAATTCTTTTCGCTTTTTTATATGGTGTTTGAAAAGTCACGGAAAAAGAAAAGAATTTTTTTTCTGTTTGAATTTTAATATTTTTTGGTTTTTGGTAATGACCCAGGTCATAAATAGAATATTTAAACAAAAAAGGTAAAAATAAAATAAAACAAAGACGTTTCTGCTGCATTTGGCACAAAAATTCTTTGTGGTTCTTAACTTTTTCACCAAAAAAAAAAAAATTAACACAATATATAATCCTTATTTTTATAGGTTCTATTAATCAATTTTCAAAATAAAAAAAAAACTTCTTTTTTCTCATATTCTAATTAATATGTTTGTAAATTAAGACTATTTTGTTATCTTTGGAATAAAAATTAATTAATTTTATTTAAAAAAATTTTTTTTTTCATTCAGTGGTTCTTAACTTTTTCACAATACTGTATATATATATATATATATATATATATATATATATATATATATATATATATATATATATATATATATATATATATATATATTTATATGTATATATATAAACTTTTTTTATACCTTGACATTTTAGGGGTTTACCCGCTCTTATGGTCAAGTGGATAACCAACCAGAATTAAGCGGATAACCAACATTAAAATTTTGATAAAAGTATTTTTTTTGGAACAACCCTTATATATATATATATATATATATATATATATATATATATATATATATATATATATATATATATATATATATATATATATATATATATATATTTATATATATATATATATATATATATATATATATATATATATATATATATATATATATATATATATATATTTATATGTATGTATAAATTAGTAAAAACACTTATCTAATATTTTTCTTTAACAACTTGTTTCACCATCAAGAAGCCTTTCTGATGAGCCATCTGATGGTAAAACAAGTTGTTGAAGAAAAATATTAGATAATTGTTTTTACTAATTTATTATTGCTCTGTTCTTTAAGAACATTGAGCACTCTATTTGTAGAATACACTAATATAATTTATTTATTAAGCTTCAAGTTTACACTTG